TTTATTTATTATTCTTACTTCATATTTGATTAAATTCATCGTAAGCAAGTGATATATAATTTGATTAACTGAGATATGATATACGTACAGCCTTAGTAATCAAAAAGGAAGATATCACAGCTGACATGATCTCACACGTCGGATAACAAATGTAAAGCTAATTATATATACATGGAATTTGGTCAATTAAATTATCATTATTTCAATTGCGAGATGCTGAAGTGATAATACGTCACGCTGCACCGCATCTTTTCTATGCTTTCAGGATATGTATTATCCGTATCCTTCCTATTCTAAGCGTATAACCACGTGGCACGGTTTTCTCCACGCATATAAACCTAGAATCTCGCAAGAGGGATACATGGTGGCAGCTTGTACATCGTAAAACGATGCGCTACTGGTTTATAGTTTATAGTTCGAGTGCCTACGCGGCGGTCGTGTATGATTGAATGGGGGAGGATTTAAAAGGGATCACGCGCTTTTATGAGCGGTATTAGGAACGATGGCGTTAAAACGCCGCGCGCGGAGGTTTATTGTCCGCGTACGTGCGCGCACGACTAATTTTACACTAATTTCAGCGAGCTGTTCGTTTATGGCCGGATAAAGAATAACCGTAATCCATTTGAGTACAAATGTAGTATATAGCAGAACTTTAGTTTAGAAGCCTGCTAGAAAGCCGTTTGTAATTATACTTCTTGATGACGCGTTAATGCCTTGAAATTTATTCTATTTCTAACGCATGGTAAAGAAATCTAACGATGTATAAAAGCATTAATCTCAAGTATAAACTGGTTCTTATTTTATTCACACATCTTATACACAAAAATTGTATGAGATATACTGTAAACTAATACAAACGCGCGGTACAATAATACTAAACTAAAAATCATTGAAAATAACTTACGTGAATACTAATCACAAAACTATTACTCGTAATTTAACGTCAAACTAACGATATTTTTTTCATTGATACATATTAAAATATCGATATGAAAATTGCGACAAACATTGCAGATAATATGGCACACTTTTGTATTTACAGAATATAAAACAACTCATGCAATCAATATAGTACGTCGAGGAAAGAGACAGAAAATGTGTGCATTTTCCGCGAATGCAGATACGGATCTGCGATCGTTAAGGCGAACGCGGGATGAATCATAAACTCACCGATCGCTTCTACAGCCGATATCAGGATAAGCGGGAATTCCCGCGCGCACACATTGTGTAACGCGCGAAACGTTAGTGCGCGCTCGTGCGCGGAATGCATCTCTCATCTCGGAATAATAACAATGCCCCGCGGGCCGCGAAGTCAATGTGGAGCAGCTGGGATCCACGTAATGAAAGTATGATTGATGATCCGACCGACGCGCATCATTAGCTCGATACGGAGGAGTGAACCGAGAAGGATATGCATGCCTGCAAGTCCCGACAAGTCGTGCATGGTCGTCGTCGTCGTCGTCGTCATCGTCGTCTTAAGACGCATTCTGAATTAACGTGACTCCGGGCCTAATACAATCCCTCGCACGGCTCGCGTGAGAAAAGTTATAGTACACGATTCGAGAGTGTTATACGTATGGACAGACAGTGGTATATTTGTGGAATTTCTGCGTAATTAATGGTCGGAAGGAAAAACGAAAAATTTGACAAATAAAAAAAATAAAATTTTTCTATTTCGTAAAAAGTATACACGTATATCTGTTGACAATTCTTTACTTTCTGAATAGATATGCAAATGCATTTTAATTTAATAAACATTTACATTGAAATTTGATTACTGCTTTTAATAATATGCAACATTATAAATTTGAAAACTTTGACAGAGAAATTAAAAAAATAATTTTCATTTACTAACTGGTATAAGATTAAATTATTTGAAAATGTTTTAATCAATAATGCAAAAACGCAATCATACAAAGGACGAATAACAATTTCAGCATTGCTACCGACAGATCATGAGGGACTAGGAGCATTTGAAAGACACATTTATCTCACTTCCGTTGGAACAAAATCTGCCCTGGGGCCTAATGCTTCGGCTATTAAGCTTTAATGGACTGCCGATCGTCGATGGAGAGCAGGAGGGGAAGAATATAGGATCTCTAAGGAATTGGAAAAATGGTTGGAATCGCAAATTTGGTGGACTTTCGCTCTTTCTCCCGTTTTTCTTTATCTTTTTCACCATGTCCACTTCCATCCATAAAAATATTCCACGCGTCATTCTCTGGCCACAATAATCGACCGGGACATGGGGCAGTGGCAGGACGCTCTCGCGTAGTTCCATCGATTTCAATCGCGCGCAAAAGATGTGCTCTTTCTACTGAAACTGGTTTGCCAGTCGGAGAGCAGGCGAGAAAACGGAGGCGATGGCATCGGCGGGCGGAAGGGCTGAAAAGGTCGTGGGTTGCCTGTTTGCGGCACGATGGAACTGTGATCAGGATTGACTCGGGATGATAATCTGGCGTACACGGGTTTCCACTTTACCCGATGCGAACGACGACGTTCAGGTCGCCGGGCTCTCGCTCTCCTCGTCCCTCGATACCCGCGAGCCTCTCTCGCGTCATTTCCCTCGCGAATATCCCTTTAACTATCGCTCGAATTCACTGCTGACACGTATGTGCCGCAATTATTAATATTGTTGACTCAGTGCAAAGAAAGCGTTACTCGATAGCGCCAATAGATGTCAATTTATTATTCGCATAATAAAAATGTTAATTCTAAAACTTTTCAAAAAGCCTTTAATCGAGGATAAATTATCATTCAATTATCTCTGAAAATGTGGTGAAGCAATTGTGATATATGTTAAGATAATTATCAGTTCACACAAATCTTATAACATCATCGATAACATATTCTCGCAAATTTGAATGAAAGGGAGAACTCGAAGACGTTTATGGCATCTCACAGAGAAGATTCTCACAAAGACACTTGAATGTTTAGTGCACTTTAGTGAACGATACGTCTTCTATCCAGCGTGCAAAAGTAGCAGGAAGCAGGCTGCGGGCCATCATTTGCAGAAGTCCACGAGAAGCGTATATGTCAATTCGAGAAAAAGAGAGAGAAGCACCAGAAAAAGAAGAGAGCGATTCCTTGCTAGAGAGCGCGTTCTGTGGATACGTTTGGATAGTGAATGGCGGATAAAGCGCCCCTAAAGCCCAGTTTCGACAGAGCAAACAACCCGTAACTCAGTGAGTGTTTATGAGGGGGCTAGTCGTAAAAATACGATGCGAATCGGACTCTCTCTCTCTCTCTCTCTCTCTCTCTCTCTCTCTCTCTCTTTCTCTCTATGTTTCAACCGTTTAGTCGACTCACCCTCACCAAACTTTTCCTCGGGCAGTTCTTTCCACGTCGTGGGACAAAGACGTGGCCACGGATAAAAACGTAAGAAAAAGACAGACCACGGCCGATAGAGTGAGAAGAGTTTCCACTGTGGCAACGGGAGCATGTTCCCTGATCGTAAAACTCGGTCTGATCACCGCTACCAATTATCCCACCGTTATCCGAGTGTTATCCGAACGTTATCCGGAACGTTATCCACCTCTGCCCACCCGGTACTCCACGGAAGAACCCTCTCACCATCATCCGAATCACTACCGATCCCTTGAACCCTAACGCAGAGAAAACGAGAGAGAGAAAGAGAATGGGTCTACCCTAAACACGAAGGCCCGTTGTTGTCGCCTTTTACTGCAAACGAAGTGATTCTCTCCTCGTAAACGCGTCGTCTTTACAGATTATTTGACGAAGGAATATCTTTTCCTGGTATCAAATTTTCAATCTTCTCGTATTAATCTAACTTTAATAAAGTTAGCAAGATTATTACAACTCATGAAAAAGTATCCTTAATTTATGAATGCTTACGTATGTGGATCAATTAAAAAATATTTTAAAATAAGTTTTTTTCTAATAAAATTTTCCTCATAATTTCCATAAGTAAAAAATTGTACGTATATATTAATTATTTAGCACAAAAGAAATTTTAATTCTAAAAATTTAGTTCTTATTTGTGTATTAAAAGTTCTGTTAAAGAATTGACAGTTGCGCGAATTGTACATGTCTGTTATCCATTTGTGTGAAGTGAGACTCCGTGATAATACTTTCTAAATCACGAAACAGAATGAATTGTCGGACATGATATTAATCAGACACGCAAGAGAGAAGTGAAATTCAAATTTTCATCGTGAGCGTGGAATGACCGATAATCGAATCACGAAGTGATTTGATTTCAGAGAGAAACGACGGATATTGCGGATATACAAATATATACGACGCTACAGGTTTTATTCGATTCGAATGTTTCGTTCATTGAAGAATAATACTGAGAATACTATATAAAGACTGAGCATCTGTTACATCAGGTATTAAAGATATTAAATGTGACTATTGCATTAGATTGTCAACTATAATTACACTGTAAGACCATTCATAAATCGTCAGCTGTTAATCAAAATACTATTTAATGCCAAAATACTATTTAAGTAAACAGTATTTAAAATTTTGAGAAGCAAATAATTTTGCATAAATTATTAATGCGTTTTTTAAATATACAATTAAAATGTAATTTAAATTTTTACAATTTGTATAATTTAATTTGTTTCAGAATTAATTACAGTTCAAACTTAAGTCTTCTCATCATGATATTCATAAAATATTCATCTTTTAATACGTATTCATATTGAGTATGTATAATAATAAATTTTCGTTGAAAGAGTCAAACTTTATTGAAAAATTTAAAAATATTAAATCGAACGATCTTAAAATGTACAAAAAACCTTACGTTATGAGGCATTTTAATTTGTTTAAAAAATTTTTTTTAAACAAATATTATCTTATTTAAAATGAAGAGATGACTTATGTTAATTCATAAGAAGTAGAAAAGTGATGTGGAAAATAAATATATCCGTGAGATATATCCGGCACAGGTGGCACAATATTGTACGTGTCTTTAGTGTCTTTATTGTGAGGATACGTGTAAATGTCTGTTGGCTGAAATGGATTCGTCTTACCGGCTCGATTACTCTGGTCGATCATCGGTTGAACGATTCTACGTCTCGCGTTTATGAACCTGAAACAAACAAAATAAACGAGTCACATTAATAAGATAATTGATTTATTTAATATCAAAAATCTAAAATAATTTTAACATAATACAGCAAATTTAATAATTGTTTAATTCTCTTAAACATGATCATTTTTCTATATATAAAAAATATAAAGAAATAATTTTTTTATTTTCTTAAGTTCGCCTTGCAAATATTTTTTGCAACAGTTTTTTGTCTCCTTCGCATTTTACACGATGTGCAGAGAGAGGGAAATTGTCTCGATGCAATCCGCTATCTTTGTAACAATCAGGAAAAAGCGAACTGCAACTGGTTCGGGAGATGAGCGAGCAAAAACGGAAAAATCCGGTAAAGAGGAAGAAAATCCTCGATACGTCATTAGCCGCGTTGAAGAAGCTTCCATGTGAGCGCTTTCCGAACAATAGATCTGCGGTCTGTTTCGATGTTGGTCGAAGTCCAAGAGGGTGGTAGGTTCAATACAGTATGAGATAGGAACAACCAGGGAGGATCGGCGGTAGAGTGAGCGAGACGCGAAGAGGAAGGGCGTACGTCAGCCGACGTCAGCGTCGCGGCGCCCTAATGGGCGCAGACGCCGGAAGTGATTGGGTTTCTGCTCGACTGACTCGAGCACACCCCCTTCCCGTCGTGGAATACTCCAGTTCCCTGCCAGAGGGGATGAGGACATAAGCAAGCCCCGAAGAAGCGATGGTACTCCCTCTTGTTTTGCAGCACATCTTTCTTGCTTAGTCTCACGCCTGGTCGACTCCCACAGGAGAATCTTATGAATAATAATTATTAAACTCTCATCGCCTCTCGCTCTCGCTGTCGGATGCACGTGGCCATTGTCGCAGTTAAGACGCAAACATATGCCTACAAGTCGTTCGACAAGTCGCCGTAAGTCAAAAGAGCTTCATTCGATTGAATGAGTAGTAAAAGGCTTCAGAAGCGGTATATTAACATAAGCGCGAGAGATGGCCATGAATTTTGATACCGTCAATCGGACATTTAAATGCATTGCAAATATCTCTAGACTGTACATTAATATTAATTATAATTATAATATTCTATGGTATCATATAGATATATGATATCACAACCAGTATAATGCAAACATATACTAATTTAATTATCAAATTATAAATATTTTAGAGAAGAGAAGCTATATAAATTCTTTTAACGATATATAAAATCTTCCTTTGCAAAGAAAAGTTAATTACAAAAATGAAGGTATGACAAACAAATTTCTACTATTTATTCAGTTAAATTTATTCTCTTTAACATAAAAATTCTAAATATAATAATAATAATAATAATAATAATAATAATAATAATACGTGCTCGAAATAAAGCACATTTGCGGTACAGATGTAATACGATAATAATTACACGTAATCGCTTCAGAGTCAAATCCTCGACTATCGTCAGACGAAAAAGTATCGCTGCGCGAATATGAAACCAAGGATCCCTCTCTAGCCCCCCCCTTCCCCCCGCACGGATACTTCTAAGCGCCTCTGATTCCTCTTTGGCGAGGTAGGCAACGTGTCACAGCCAGCTGACTACCGCTAACCACCCCCGCACTTCCACTTTAGCAGCCACCGCTGCTGCTGAAATATCGCCCGAACAATGGCGTGCAACCCTCTAACCGAAACGAGAAAGAGAAAGATAGAGAAGAAGGGACGAAAACGGTGAGCGACTGCCCAAACTCTCTCTCTCAAGAGTTTGGCCGTTCTAGTGAAAATCAACCGGAAAACTTAGGCCCGCCATATTGCAGAGATATAACAAAATTTCACGGTCAATGTAATCTCTTTTTTACTTTTATAGGTAAGATGTGGTAAAACTTAATATTTAGATCACTAATTATAATATGTATAACTCTGTTATCTGTTAATAAATCTACTAAAAAAATAGTAAAAATTTAGATATTGAAATTATAAATACATATTCTTCAAATTTGAAACTAAAATAACGCATCAACATATTTATTAGAACCGCAGTGCATAAATGTCGATGAAATAATCGTCACTTAACCCATCATGAATCTAAATATTTCTTACGGCAACAAAAGGGATCTAAAACGAGATGAGCATATTATTATCGAGATGCCAAGTCACTCTAAATGACAAAACATTTTTCGTCACGCCCTCGTCAGAGCTTTCAGGATTTTAATGCAATTTTGGTTATGAATTTGAAGGGAAGCTTTCTGTGCGTCATAAAATGGATTTGCGGCTGGCAAAACTTAAACTCGTTTGAATATACGGAAAGATGAAAAATAGACGAAATTGTTTCATCATTCAATTTTAACTTTGCATGAAACAAAGATACAGTTTAAATCGATTATCTTGAAATAGAGAGAGTCTAGAAAGAAAAGATATTTCGTTTGTTCTTACTCAATACAAAAATAAGACATTTTAGTCAATTTTTAAACACGTTATAAGACATTTTGTTTCTATTCTTTTAATATCTCGTAAAAAAGTTCCAGTTTCGTTTCTATCGTCTGAAATGAGATACCATTAATAAAGCATGGCAAAGTGAATCAAACATTAAACGGACAAATTGAATGAGAGCCACGAAAATCGGTGAATTACAAACGGAATTTCAAAGAGCAGCGTACGAGAATTATCAACAAATCGCTGACGTACGGAATTTACCTCAGTATCGCTGTTACAAATCAATAACATATAATATATTTATTCTGCGAGAAAGACAGAAACGCAGTATTGAATTGAGGAACGGATATTTCCCATATGATTTCTTATGTCGTATCTAAACTTATTGTTAGTGCACTTTATAAGCGAATGTACGAATAATGCTTGTATTTACTTATATGCATGCTTATATACATAGTCCTATATATCGACTCATATAACATTTTAAAAGTTTTAAAATTCGCGTATCCCAATACATCCCTCTGTACTCACAATTAGTAAAAAATTATTACACTTTATATTAATTTCATCGCCATGGTCAATTCTAAGTTAATGAATGGACAATAAATATCCTCACCATTTCTAAGAAAAAATAATTTTGTTGCAAGAATAACATGTATATTTATTAGCTAGAGAGATCTTTTGAAATGGCGCGGTGAGAAGCAAAAAGCACGAGAGAAAAGCTTCCTTCATCACCCGCGTTGCGCGGATGCGAGTGCGTGAGTGGAGTAACGATGATTACTGTCGCGCTAGCAGCATTTACTCTCCGACGGCATTCGCAATTATCGGGAGCTTCCATTAGTTAACTGCAGTCGATACGCAGTGCACCGGGTCCTCGCATCAAAACATCATTACTGCCCGAACACGGGAGCGCGAGAACCGCCGTACTCGCAGTACTATTGGTAATCAATTTCACTCCCATGGCGTAGGTACTACTGGCGAGAGCCGCGCTAATGCGAGGCCTCAGCGTTCGCGTCGCATTACGGGAAATCGAAAAGGCAGTCTCGTAATGATTACGCGTTAGGAAACAGATCGAGCGAAGAAGGGAATAGATAGATGAATTGCCGTAAAAAACTGTTTTAATTAGAAATTAAACGATTGCGCGTCAGTTGAAGTAATTTTCATCGTCAAAGAACAAAAAAAAATTTAAATAGATAAGATGCTTAAGAGAATAGTATTGCATTATTATTGGCATTATTAGCAAAATTTATTATTATTATTAACCTCGTGAAATATGTTGTTTTATTTAACGAGGATTTCAATCAATATAGAGTGGAGTAATAACGGTACAATTATTTTTATCGAATTGAACTGCTGCGTGCGATCTGTAGTGTTAGATTATTTATGTAATTATCCCTTCCTGCATCGAAAACCTGCAGTTAATGAGGATCTGACCTCGCGATCCAATCAGCAATCGATTTTTGTCTGTGTAAAATTACCACTAGTCTCGCTAATGCGAATTGCCGTTGCATCAGAGAAAACAGCCATCATAAGCATTGCATTCCAGAAAATGCTTATTAGGAATTGGTCGGATAGGTAAAACATTAACAGGAATATACACCGCTTCGTATCTGATTTAAAATCTACAACTATCATTTTAGAAATAACATAATGATTATTCAACAAACCTTACGATGGACAAATTGGAATAACTTATAATAGTTACTCGAATCATAGAACTCTCTCTCTCTCTCGGCAATAAAGTTATAAAATAAAAGGACACGAAGCACGATGTGTGCGTATCCTCCTTCTAGTCTTCGTACGCTCGCTTTTTTCAAAATAATTTTATTGTATCAACAAAAAGCTCGCCGCTTGAGCTCGCACGAACGAACGAACGGATATAAATCTGAACGTTCATAAGACTAGCGTCGGCCATCACGCCGTGCCGGTGCATTTACGATCGATAAAATCATTTTATCCGAATATAATGCACCGGTCGATTCACGCGCCGCTCCCGGCGAGTTTCTTCTTTTTTTTTACTTGCGTTTTGTTCTCTCTCGCGCCGCCGATCGTGATCATGATTTTATTGTAATGCAGTCGGCCCGATTACGTCTCGCCCGCGCACCGCTGGATCTCCTCGAAAGTGCGGCGCCCGCGAACAAACGAATCGAACCCTATACGCAATACATAATTCTCGTTCGACAAATTCAATGAGCATTATGGATCGTCAGTATTCTTCCTTTCACCGTGTAATCGAGTTTCCTGTAGACGTCGCTGGCAAAATCGCGGGGCACCCGGATTGAAAATTTGCATTTACGATCGTTACACATTGAATTGTACAAGTGTACAAGATTCGTACAGCATTCTTTTTATTTTAAAATTATGATTATTAGCTCAAACTTTATTATAAAAATTAGCACACATAAAAAGAATTGCCCGTATAAATTACAACTTAAAAATAATAATATAAGTTTGAATTATTAACTTTAAAAAGTATGCTCAACAGAAGTTAAAAATTGAAAATCTCTGAAGTGAGAGAGAGAGAGAGAGAGAGAGAGAGAGAGCCATGCGACAGTGAAAGGTTTCGCATCACAGCACGAGTAAACTTGCTGCCGAATTCCCGGTGGCCGCAGGGGCGT